GCCCCCCTCGCGAGCCTGGGGGTGCCCCGCCACCGCCGGCTCTCTCGCGAGCCTAAAAGGTCCCCGCGGGCGGCCTGTGTGTGCTGGAGGAGGCGGGAAGGGGCTGACACAGGCGCCTGCAGGGGCCCGCTCGGGCTGCAGCTGGGGCAGGCGCGGCATCCGAGCCTGGCATGCGGATTTGCCTCAGCGCGCGCGCAGCGCTCTCAGTGAGGCGACCTGTGAGGCGACCTGGGCAGAGAGAAGACTAACCTGGTCTGGTGCCACCGACAGCTTCCCGGGCGCCTGAGCACAACCCCAGCTAGGTCCCGAAGGCCAGAGACCCTCTGCGTCCAAGCGCGGAGACCACACAGGCCTGTGACGTGCAGAGCGCGCAGCTGGCGAGGGCGCCCGGCCACCCCAGGCCCACAGGCCACCCCGGGCTAGCCGCGGTCAGGGGGTCGGGCCTAGGCGTGCCCTCCAGAACCCCCAAGGAAATGACAGAAGCTGACGTCTTAGGCACAAACATTTCGGCACCGCACTATCAAGCCTGGACCACCCTTTGATTTGCTTTTCAAGGGTAGGTGCTGCCCTCTGGGTGGGGAGCAGGGCTCAAGAGTGCCATGTCCACGGGATTCGGTGACGGGACACCCACGGGGATGACAACTGAGACGGAAGAGGCGCACAATGATGTCAAAATAAACTATGGGAGGGGGGCGACGAGGCAGCTTCGTGCTACCACAGAAGAATTTAAATGCTATCAAAGATGCCTCCCAGGGTATGTCTGCAACTTCCTAGTTTTAAAAGCAAAGAGTGTGCATCCCCTTTGACGAAAGTTTGAAAGCTGCTAATCCGGCCTGCCCCGAAGGCCGCTAAAGCTGGCAGGTGAAAGAGGCAGGAGGGCGAGCGGCCTGACTGTCCGGGAATGCTCGGCCGCGCGCTTCAGAGAACAGCCGAGGCCCCACCGGCCTGGCGCAGCATCTTAACCCACCCCAGGCCGCCCGGGGGGCCGCCGCCCCAGCCCGAGCAGCAGTCCAGCCCCCCCTTGTCCCGGGGAGCCCAGGAGCCCGCCTTTCCTTCCCGCCCCTGCCCTGCAACTACAAGCCGTCCAGTTTGCTTCTGGCGAGAGGGCGGCACCTGTAACCGGCACCTGACCTTCCAGGGCCCCTTACACCTGTATTTAATCCTCGGCCTGTTCCGTCGGGCTGAGAGCTCGGCCTGTTCAGGAGCCGCACCCACCCACACAGCCAGCTTCTCTCCGCGGGGACTCCCGCTCCACCCCGCAAGGACACTGAATGACCAGCCCCAGTCCTGCCCCGCTGAGGCGGCACCACACGGGACACTTCTGGCTCGAGGCCTGTGCGGAACTGCTCCGGCAGGTGCCGCGCTCAGAGGCCACCGAGAAGCGGCCGGTGTATGACGAAGCGCCCACGGACAGCCACCAGCCGATCCCGAGGCGACGACACTCCCCAGCCGCCCGCCTCTGCCGTCGCTGGAACTCAGCAGGGTCAGCTCCTCGGGCCCTGGAGGGCGCTGGCAGGTCAGCAACACACAAGTCAACAGCGCCGGGACCGAGCGTGGCCGCCGCCCTTCTCGAGCGTCCCAGGCGCGGCCTGCTGTACCTGCAGGCACAGGCCGCGAGGCGCTTCGCGGGGCACCTGGGCGGGCAGGATGAGACTTGCCACCAAGGGCCAGCGACAGCCGGGCCCAGCCGGGCAGAGCGGCGCTCGCGGTCGTTTCACGCCCGCAACAGTCACGCTGCCCGTCCAAACTGGATCCGAACACCGGGGGCCGGGCGCCGCCGAGGGCGCGGGGAGGCGGGGGTCAGCACCGGCTGGCGGGGTGGGCACTCCCTCCGGGCAGGGCAGGCCTGAGGCAGGACGAGACCCCAGGCCCAGCGCTCCTCCACAGGCTCTCCCACGCCGTCCGCGGGCCGGGCAGGGCCCAGGCAGCGGAGCGCAGGGACTCGGTGGGGAGGGCGCGGTCCGCGGGGCCTGGTTTCTCCAGCTGCTGCCTGCCTTTCTGGCCTGGTTTAAAACAAAAGACTCAACATTGCAAGACCTCAGTTTTGAAGCAGAAGTGTCACCACTCAGCCCTCTGACACCTGAAATCACTTCCCTCATTATGTGCCGTCGTTTCTCCAAGATGGCGTACTCTCAGACGTGAGCTCGAGGTGAACCCTGACGCTTTGCTCAACTTCCCCAGTAAGCGCCTTCCAGGGCATGGAAATGTCGCTTTCGTAGTGCAGGAAGCTGGGCGATGGCCCATGTGCTCCAAAGCAAGGTCCAGAACCCAGCCTCAGGGCGGCCCTCAGAGGCACCACAGAAGGCAGGACTTGCGGGTGTGACTCTGAAGAAAGGAACTAGCTCAAATTACGGCGGCAGATTTCAGTTTGGTTTATGTCATCTCAGAAAAACTAACAGCCTTGAATTATCATTACATTTGACCTACTCAGCAAACAGGTTGCTTTTCCTGTTTACGCGCTCCAGAAACATGAAGCCACTTTTCTAAAATCATGAATACTCGAGTTATAAACTTAAAAATTCAAAGCGCAGCCTGGAGAAGTGATGGCCCGGCTTCGCGTTCAGGCTGGTCTAGAAAGTGGCGTTTGGTTCGCCCCGGCCGCCTGCCTCCGCCAACAGCAACAGCAAGGAAACAGGAGCCCTGGGGCCTGGCTGGGGCCAGGCTGGGACGGCCGCAGGACGTGTCAGGCCGCCCCGCACAGCCCGGCCGGCCCGAGGCAAGGAGAGGAATCCCTCCGGAGCCGGTCTCAGCGGCTCCGGGCACAGACGCAGCTGCCTCTTCAGACCTTAAACCTGCAAACAGTGACGGTCCAGAAAGAGTCTAAAAATACCGCTGGCTCACTTGTCCACGCAACCAGCAGGACGTTCCGTCCGGAGGCGCCAGGGTCACGGCGAAGCCGCCAGTCGGCAGGCAGGGCCTCTCGGGCAGCACTTTCTGGAGACACACGGCCGAGTGACGCGGAGAACTCACAGCCGCCTTCCGGAGCGCCGCGGCAAGACCCGGGGGCCCCAGACGTCCAACGGCAGCGGGCAAGTCGGCAGCGGCCGGGCGGGAGGGGTGCCCAGGGCGCCAGGGGCTCGGGCCGCACGAAGCCAGCCCGGAGCAGAAGGGACGAAGTCCACCGCTGAGAGACGGGGCGGGGCAGGAGACGTCCAGGGCCCGGTGGTCCCCTCGGGGCGGGGATGGAGCTCGCTGAAGCGCCTGCGCTGGCCTGCAGCGCTGGCGGCATTTGGGAATTCTACGGGAAGTCAGCCAAGGGGGAGAAGTGGCTTCTCCACCGTCCACTACGCCTTCAGTGGCCTGTCAGTGCTTGCCGAGCGGGGAAAGGAACCTCCCGGGTCACGCGCCGTGACCACGGGCAGCGAGTGCGCTCTGTGCCGCGGGCAGTGGCCGCCCACCTCCAGCCCAGGGGCGCTTCAGGCTGTCTCACAGTCGCTCTGGGCAGGGCACGCCGAGGGATTCCAGGCCTGCTGGCGGGGAGGAGGCTCGCAGGGTGCGAACTCCACCGCCTCGCTGGGAGGGCCCTCGCAGGAAAACCTGGGCCTCGGGGGTGCTGGCCTCTGGTCTCGAACCACAGCACGGTTTCTTAAAACCTGCTCTTGCCACTCTAACCCCAAACAGTTAGGCCGTAAGCACCGGCCCCGCGCAGAATCACTCCACTTTCAGATTAGTGAGCGCCGTCGGTCGGCCGCAGTGCCTGGCAGCGGGCGCTCGGCAACACTGTGCCACACCTGCTGGGCAGTGCCCATGCCCGCTGGTGCAGCCATGGCTTTGGGAACGTGTTTTCTCCCAAAGATTCTGAGGAGCCAGCTCTCCCGTGCACGCGCTGCAGCTCCAGCCCCCGCGGGGTCTGCCTGGGCGCCAGGAAACGCAGAGCGCGACAGACCCTCGCCCTGACTCCACCTCCGCCGAGTGGGCTGCCAGAGCCTCCCGGCCACTTTTCCACTGTGGGGCACGTCAGCCCTCGTCATCTGCTACTTGGGTTTCCACGAACCCCTAAAAATCATCTCAGGTTCAGATTCTTACAGCCTTCCAGCTCCTTTGGGGCAGCCACGTTTGCAGAAACAAACGTTCCCTCAGATTCACCTATCAGGTATCGACACGTCACAAAAAGGCAGGTAAATCCTCACACGGTCACTCATCCGCTGAATCACTGCGCAACGCAGCCTTCAGCGTCTGGTGGACACGACATTCCCGGCGCCGAGCGTCGCGGTGAAGAACAGTCACTCCACGCCGTGCCCATACAGAGCACGTGACTTAGCGCGCACCGACGGCGGGCAAACCTGGCGACAGCACCCTTCACCCTGTCAAGAGCCAGAAATGTCACCGGTTTGTGCCTCTTTTCTCAAGTCGCAGACAAAGGCGGGCCCTAGAGGCAGCATCTCTCTGCAACGCGATCCCCACGTTCTGGCGTTTAGTGCAGAAAATACTCACGACGGGGAGCTGTCGTTTCTGTCGTCAAACCCTAACGGGGTGCAGCGCACAGGGGATCTTCTCTACAGGCACAGGGTCTTCAGAGGAGACCAAACCCGGCATGTCAGTGACTCAGCTTCCCAGGCCTCTCCAGGCAGCTGAATGGCATCTACGGAGCGCTTACTAACTTTGAGGCAGCAGACGGTCACGCTGCAATTAGATACTAGAAAAGGTGAACTTTCACCAGACGCAAACTGGCCTCACCTGACACCCTCCCGGCCTACCAAGCTGCCAGCTATAAGTCAAAGTGACCACCGAGCCCCACACATCTGTATTTAGCCTAGAAATGAGACGTGCCAAACGGAAGGCCAGACAGGTAAGTTAAAGCCGCCACCTGGACACGCTGTTTCTGCCTGAGCTTGTAAGTCCTAATGACTAGCCCTCTTCTCCAGGTATGCCATGCCACCCAGGCAGGCCGGCTGAGGGTGGAACAGGCATGAAACTGACGGAGGGCTCTTTGCAGCATCTGGGAGGCCCATCAGTGACAGCCCAGACTTTTGCCTCAAAGAACCCACCCACATCAGCATCATCCAAATAACTGTCTCACGTTAAGGAAAATCACCGGTCCCCTTTGAGTTCAGCCCCTTTCCAGAAGTTTTGTCGCTGTGAAGTAAAATTTGCAAAAAGGTGGGGGAGGGCCGGTGCCCAATGTGGCTACTGGACCCAGACCCGCTGCCGCACCGGCACCTGGTGCTACAGCGGGCGCCGAGGGAACCAACCCCTGCTAACCGCCGTCGAACAATTTTCAAAACATGGTTTCTGGGCTGAACAATCTACAGAGCAGAGACAGAAACGGGAGCGCCCACTTAGCAGCCCCCCGCTGCAGCCAGCAGGCCAGACCTGTGACATCTGCCGGCCCTCACTCCTGGGGCAGCCGAGACACGCCGGCATCGCCATCTACCCAAGCGGGCAGCCAGGGCGGAAAGGGGGTGCCGGGCGGCTCAGGGGCAAAGCCAGAGGTGCCTCACTCAAAGTCCACGCTCAGCTCATCTTATTAGGAAACTCTGTCTACAAACTACCTAAGCACAAAACCAGCAAAAAGTTCCCTGGAGATTTACCAAACTGTTTTAGAGTTCGAAAGCACAACTTCTCCGAAATAAGAGAAGAAGGCTCACAACACACCTACCCCCATTATGAGCGAGCTCAAGCCTACCGAGGGATGGGATTTCCGAGTCAATCCTTGCTTCCAGGGAGTATCAGAAAATTTAGTTCCCTGCCAGCTGCACTCAGGCTGGCCTTTCCCGTATCATATCATAAAGGCTCAAGTACTGGACACTCCACCCAAGCTCTTCCTCACTGGCCTCGGCGAAGGGAGACACGCGTGCACCCCACGGCCCGCGGAAGGCAGAGGGAATCGGCCAGGTGCGCGGCTTCACTTCCAGGCAGCCGCAGGCGGGCCTCCGGGGGTCTCCTCGGCGCTACTGCTGCCTGCGCGGCTCGGTGCTGATGCTCGGTGAGCGGGAGGACTAAGAGTCACGAGTGACACACTCCCACGGGAGCCGCCTTTGAGTCAGCCTGCAACCAAACCGGTCGGGCAGCCGGTCGGGCAGCCCGCCCCTACTCAACAGGGATTTCCACAGCGCCCACGGTGCCAGGGCCGGCCAGCCCTTCGCGCAGGCCCAGGCTGCGACAAGTGCAAGCCCCTGTGTGAGCGGGCCGGACGGCCGGACGGCGGGACGGGCGGGCGGACGCAGCCTCCCTGCCTCCGGCCCCAGGCGGCCAAAGCGCCAACTG